TAATAGTCAATGCATGTCACATTATTTCTAATTTTAACGTACACATATTTTCAACCACTTACTTACCCATCAGCAGACTTTTTTTCTTTTAAATTACCCAGAAAAAGAAGAACCATATTCCAGTTACAAACACAGACAACATCAAACAATTTTAGTGTGCCGCAACAAAAACTCTGTAATACCTAAGAAAACATCAAAACTCACTCCACATTCAAGTAACATTATATCAATACATATGTTTTTACTTTTTTTTGTCTATAACTAATTTTAAGTCCCTACATAGGCATTGATGTTTGTTTGTGTGTTTTTTATGTTAATAAATGTATGTTATATTAAAAGATATTTAAATATGTATTATATTAAAAATATTTAGAGGTTGAAAATAACAAGTTTATAATTATATTTTGAATAGAATACGCATAAATTTAGAAAGAATATATATATATATATATATATATATATATATATATATATATATATATATATATATATATATATATATATATATATCTAAAGAGTAAATTTTATGAAAATACAAACTATATAACATGTGAAAAAATAAAGAGTAAATTATCTAAAAATATAAAGAATAGACTATGCAAAAAATATATTAAGTATATTTATTATAAATACAAATTAGTGTATGGATATATTAGTCTAATTGTATTGTTAAACTTGTATAATCAATGCATATGCATTTATAGGTACGTTTAATATCTAATGCTAGATTCATCTAATGAATATAATGACACACTCATCTAATGTGTATTGTTAAACTCATCTAATATGTATGAACAAATTTGTCACATGTGTATTAAAGGACACATCTAATTAGATAATGAATAGAGTTATCTAATGTGTATATCAGACTCCAATAATATGTGTATAAACATACTTGTCTGATGAATATTGTTGGACTCATTTAATGAGTGTATGGACAAACATATATAATGTGTGTTGTAAGACTCATTTAATTACTAGATGGATAAACTCACCTAATGCGTATTCTTAGACTTGTCTAATTAATACATGGAATGACTTAACTTATATTTTATGTACAAAATACTTGTCTAATTAGTGCATGAATGAACTTGTCTAATGCGTATTGCTAAAATCGTTTAATTAGAGTATGAACATACTCGTCCAATGAATATTGCAAGATTAATTTAATGAGTGAACGAGTATACTCGTCTAATGTGTATTTATAGACCCATATAATATGTGTATGAAAAAGTTTGTCTAATGCATATTGTTAGACTTGTTGAATCCGTATATGAATGACTTATCTACTGTGTATTGCTAGACTGATCTGATCAATTTATCAACAACTTGTTTAATTAAAGTATTCTTAAACTCATCTAATCAACGCTTGGAATGACTCGTTTAATATATCTTTGTCATACTTTTCTAATCAGTATATCTTTAGTATCGTCTAATGTGTATTGTTGACTCAATAGTTTTTGCAATATTCATCTAAAAATTATTTTAAAAGACTTGTGTGATGTGTATTCCTATACTAGTCTAATCAATGTTTTGACAAACTCTTTTAATATGTATTGGTAGACTCTTCTAATAAAATTATTATTTAATAATCATAAAAAAATTAAATAATTTTTACAATTTTATTGTAGATAATTTTTAATTTTTTAGATAAGCTTTTTATTGAAAATAATTATTTTAGTTTAAGAGAATGGTTAAAATTAAAAAAAGAACAGTCAAATAGAAAAACGGTTAAATTAAAACAATATCACTTAAAAGATAAAATTAGTAAAATAACTATTTTAATTTAAAAAATACTTAAAAGTGTAAAATTGGAAACAAAATGTGTATACCAAGAGAAAATCATAGTATATACTAGCCATGCATATATTCCTGTGGTATTACCAAGGATATTTAGTCTCACGTCTCTATTTTCTATATTTGCCAAGTATTTATATACAATGATTCTTAATGTATTTTAAACATTGATAGTTAAGTGGTAAATTTAGTACATATGAAAATGTAAGCGCCATCCAGTATACTTTATTTGTTTTGGGAATCAATCCTCGTAAGAGCTAGTTAGTTTTTATCTATTTTTTCTTAAGTTTTGGATCAGACCATTAAAAAAATGCAATAACTAAGATAGATTTTGATGATTAAATAAGAAATATTGTTAGTTAATTGAGTTATTCGAATTTTTTTTTATGTAAAGGATATGTGATGAAATTGGTAAGAAAGCATATGATATTACAAGAACACGGATACTACAAAACATATAGAGAAATTGTCCATGTATTTGTACTTAAAGATGCTTTATAAAAACATTTTAAATACAAAAGATTATGTAAATATTAAACGTAACAAATGTTTCCAATCTTTTAAATTTTATAGATGAAATTATACACCATATTCCAACTTCATTCTCTATCAGTTGAATCTATCACTCACTAAAATATAACAGAATGATTTTCGGATGTTCTAATTATAGAGAAATGAAATGACGATCAACTAGGCCAAATTGTTCATCAATAAAAAAATGTATTTTTAATGAAAATATTGCTGCTATGTAACTTCTCTCAGCAATTCTTCATGATAGACCACAGACCAAAAAAACTTACAGTGTCCAATGTTTAAGAAGATTCATTCAATTATGTTATCTAAAGAAATAGATGTCATTCCAATCCAACCATCACAAGTTGGAAAAACTAAAGTCTAACAACAGGCACCAATGCCACTGCCACTGCAGAAAGAGATTTTCATATTCAATTTCATTCAAGGGAGTCAAAATCCACTCAAAAGGTTAAAAAACATAACCAAAATGGAAAACAGAGCACACTAAATTCGAGCATTCCAGTTTCTCATCCCTTAGAACCACAACAAAGGGCACATCAAACAGTTTAATAGGAGAATCTTTGTCAACTAGCCTTGGTAGAGTTTCATTCTACATGATTCATCTGTGAACCATCATCTGCTGCAGCATGATGATGATTCGTAATGCTTGATGATTACGAAGACAAGCGATCTGCTGCAGCATAAAGATATAATAATGTATCATGGTTGTAAGTATGTCATTCTTTGCGTGCATATATATTGCATGCTTGGCAATTTTGCAGGACAGAGAACCAAAGAAAGGGAACTTCCCTTTTAGTATTATTTTGGACAAACAATGATATTTGAAATGCTGTAATCTTATAAAACGGATAGTATTTCTTTCCTTTTAATAAAACTCAACCAAAACACATTTAAAGTACTACTAACTCGTATTGGTTCATATTTCTCTTAACTTCAAATCTAAACAAGTTTCAAAACACCAAATTAACTATCCTAAACCATAAATCCTCACCTTAGACCAGTATTTTAGAAAATCACTCTCAAACTGATGGCAACCCCTTTAGGGACTTACCATCCAAAGAAGTATCAACTTCACTCTAAGACCAAGAAAGGGAAGTTGAATAAAGGACTTAATCTTTTCTTTCTAAAAATCTTATAATGTTTTCTTTGCTAAATACTTTTATATTGCTTTTGTAGAATATTAATAAAAGGGAGGAACCATGTCTAAGCAACTCCAAAAGGCTGCCACGTAAGAAAACCAAAGAAGCACAAATGTATGGTTGGTGTCCACGGCCTTTGCACTACGTCAACGCCCAAAGACAGCAACTCCATCTTCTCCAAATGCTTTGCTGAGTTGGCAACTACAGCTTGCTCCCCAAGCTTCCTCCACCTGTTTTACAGCATGTGCACATTTAAAATAACTTGCACAATACGTTTTAGAAGCCCTCCTTCTTCTATAAATAGAGAGCTTCATCACTTGTAAATGCAACTTGATTTGTAGTAAAGAAATGCTGCCAATTTTCAGCTTTCACTCTCAAGTTCAACCTTGTGCATTGTTATCTTGCACCTCCTCTAGCTTCTTTCCCCTTTGGAAAGCTTGCTGAGCTAGAATTCTACCAAACACAACCACTCAAACACCTTCAGCATATTATCAAACACCTTCCGTGCATCCAGAAATTCCACTGCATTCTCTCTATCCGCTGCCACTTCTCTGAGTTTTGGAGCTTCTTCTGCATATCCTGGAGTAGCTTTCATCACAAACCTTCATTTTAGACCAACCATTACTCTTAACATTTCTACCAAAAATAACATCAACACCATCAAACCAACCATATTCACAATGTTAATCCAAGTTCACATAGAATTCAGACATAGAATCAATCATCGTACCATTCATTAAACTCAATCAACATAATTAACATCAAATCCACATTTTAGACATAGTCAATCATACATCTAGTACATACAATTTCATACATTATAATTTAATTTAAAGACAAACACTAGCTTCACTTACTTTAAAAGAGAACTATCATAGCTCTAGAGAGCTCGTCAACCTTAAAAGTGAACTTTATATAACTATTTATTTATAGTAAACAACCAAGTCAACCTTAAAAGTGGACTTTATATAACTATTTATTTATAGTAAACAACCAAATCCTTTTTGAAAAAGAAAATATGCAATGTCATGAAAATACTTATAAAATTAATTATATATTTTGATTACTACACTTTTATGTTAGGAATCCAAAAGCCAATAAATGCATACTAACCTGAATACAGGAATAACTTGTTCATTTCTCATAACTAAGGGCATCACATCTTTATCCGTAAATGGGGTTCACATCTCACAATAATTAACCATGCTCTATTTTAGTAAAAACGTTTAAAATTTTCGACCTCAAGTCTTTCGAATTAATGTGTCAATACCATTTTTGAAATGCCATCCACTTCATAACTCAAAATTTCATCATAATTCAGTAAATGTTAATAATAAAAATGTATTTTAAGTGCAAAATTGATTAATAATAATAATTTATTGAAAAGGTAGTTTTCTTTATAAAATTCTGTTCCCTTCTTCTACAAATTTCATTTGTATTTATTTGTAATCATATGTGTAATGGTTGTTTTGGTGGTGTGAAACAAAGGTTTGGTATATGATTGAAATATGTTCGGAAGTGAGATATTTGGATGATGAGTGTGGAGTTGAAATTGAGGAGTGAATGTGCGGTGTTTTTCACATGCCTCAATTTGGTTGGCATCACTCAATCACTTGCCCAACAAGTTTCCACCGCAAAACAAAATATTCCAACCGGACCCACTTCTGTCAATCATACATCCCACCCTTCTGATCTTCCTTCAATTTGAAGAACACAGACAAAAACGGTTCTGTCCTTTCTGTCCTCCTCCATCACCAACTCTCCCACATTTTTTTTAAGGTTTCTCTTTCATTCTCTTCATCACTATTCAACCACACACACACAAAACCATTCTCACTATTATCATCTCATCAAAAATAACCAAAAATATTTTATCAGAAAAGCACTCTTTCATTTTATTTTTTCTTTTTAAGTTCTGTACAGTGCCGAAATTATTACTAATTTTTACCCTTAAGCAAAGGGAAACTAGAATTTACTTCAACTACAAAATAAAATAAAATTCTCTTTTTCACTCACTTTTCTCTACCCTGTGATTCACAGTTCATGTCCTCTGGCCTGTTCTGATAATTCAAACGACACAGTTTCTTTCCTTTCCTTCACTTGATGTTGCTGATTCCCATGCGCTTCACCACCGCTTTTCCAATGACTTCCGTTTGTATTCTCAAACCATTCTTCACCTCCATCCCTGACATGTAATTCCTCACTTCCTTCCTTATCATTTCTTGCATCACCCTCAAAAACTCCGGATTGAACAATTGCTTTCTACGCTCTTCCACCGTGGACACCGCTGAAGGAGGAGGAGGTGGAGAAGGCTGTGCCGGGGATGGTGGCCGCTGTTCAGGCTCCGAGCTTAACCCAGGAAGATATAAACTCCTCTGTATAGGCTCCGAGTTTAACCCAGGAAGACATAAACTCAGTGACGTGGCTGGATCGGAGAGTGAAGAAGCGGTTTCCATGAGATTGGGCCTGCAGAAGGCCGATGCAGAAGGAGTCGACAGAGCCGGCTTGCCCGGATCGCTTAAATCGGACCCAGATGGACTGCTCGGGTTTAAATAACCCGCGCTGACACTGGCAGATCTTTTTAGGGGAGGACGATCCGTTGCATCGAGACCAAGGGCGGAACATTTTCTCTTGAGAGTGGAGTTCCAGTGATTTTTGACGGCGTTATCGGTGCGGCCATTGAGTAGACGTGCTATGGTGGCCCACTTATTACCGAACCTACTGTGTGCCCTGATAATAGCATCGTCCTCTTCCGGCGTAAAAGTGCGATGCTCTACTTCCGGCGAGAGCTGGTTGCACCAGCGTAGCCGGCACGATTTGCCGGATCGACCGGGAATAGACTTGCTTATCATCGTCCAGTTTCTCGGCCCAAGAGCCTGCACGAGCCTCTGCAGCGCCTCGTCCTCCTCCGGGCTCCATGGGCCCTTGATCCGATCGATGTCTCTGCTTCCAGTTGCCATGCTAGCAGAGTTTAATCATAAAAACAAAATAAAGAAAATATCAAAATTAAAATTTATGAGAGATGTGTTGTGTGGTTTGTGAGAAGAAGGGTGGGGTTTGGGGGAGAAATAGAAAATGCAAAAGGGATAAGGATGACCGGTTGGGCCGGTTGATGTGACCGGTTGGGGCGGTTGGCAAAGCAGTTACTTACAGCTGGCAAACTAACACGCGTGGGAGTTGGAGCCTCTTCACGGTTACACGTATGATCACGCTATCGGTGCTGGCTGGTGTTTTCTGTAAAATTATTAACTAATTAACTAAACTAATCTTCCTTCTTCCTTTCTACACTCAATCTCAATTAGATATTTTAATTATTAAATTAATTATAATTTTAATTACAATTAAAAAAATCAACTCATTCATTCCAGAATAAATCGTCTTATTGACTAAGACGGTTGAACAGTTGCGCATTCTAAATTCGCTCTGACCAAAACGGTAATCTCGAATTCCAACTGAACCATTTTTGGTTGTAAAACATTATTAGTGGCTTGAATTAATCATTATTAATTAATAAAATATGATATGTATTTATTTTAAATTTTAAAAATACTGTTTAGCTGAATTTTTTAAATTAAGGTAAATCTACAAATTATTTTCGGGAATCAGATTATATATTTAATTCTTTAAACCTAACGGCTTTCGCTCAAATATAACTACTGACCGTTACGGATATTGTCTTCCAAATCTAAAATTAAACCATGATTGACTGCAAATTAGAGTTGTTTTGTGTCGATAAAATAATATTTATGGACTGTTTATTTTAATTAGAAGTTCAAATTTTTTTAAGAAATAGTTATTATTTAATGCATTTTTTAATTAATTTTAGTGGTTTAAAATTAACTGTAAATTTATCTAGGTTGATTAAATTAGATAAGCCTAACTTTTTATTTGAAGAGTCTTGTTTTTTTTATATATATAAAATTTGAGGTGAACAATAAAAGTATGTGCTTAAAAATATGAGTATAGTTGTATATATTTACCACTTGAATTTTTAAAAGAATATTAATATTATTCATTTTATTTATATTTAATATTTACTTTACTTTAAAATATTTTACACATTTATGGTGAATAATAATGGTACCTTGCGAATGTAGACTAAGTTACAGAAGTATTGGATCTGAGATCCTAAACCTATTTATTATCATCTCAAATTTATATTCTATTATCTTTATCTTTCGAGAATTGGACTCATAAACAGGAATTTAACTGATATTAAAAAATATTGATAACTAATAAAACCATAACGGTTATAACAATGACCTAGAATTCGTATAACTATCAACCAATTCGAATTTTAAAAACAGAATTCATTTTTCAATTAATTTATTTAGTTGATATTTATAGAGTATTTCATGTTAACATGCACCATTTAATATATTTATGCTTCAATGTTAATTAAACAACATGTTTAAAACATTAATTTTTTATATTAACTATAAGTAATATTCAGTTTTATAAATCAAATACAAAAACAAATATGAAAATATAAATATATGTTATTTTGTCATGTCAAGTTTTATTAAGTATTATTGAAAAAATTATTATTTACTAAATATCCGGTATTACTTTTTTTAGTTACATAATATTTTCTGTTTGTTAATTTCTTACCATATAATCAAGCTCACAATAATCTTTAAAATACTACCTATAATCTCAATTACACATTTTTTTCCCATATATAACATGGTTTACACGGTTCAGAAAGAAAGAAAAAAACTACAATTTTATCAAATTAAATCATTAATTATTTTCACTATTTTTTTTAATATAATTGATGTTGATCTTTTCAACTACCGAACATATATTAAAAACATCTTTCGGTTACAAAACATATAGAGATAAAATAAGAAAGAAAAAGAGTAAAACATTTGATAGGAAATTATTTTTTACTTGAATCAATAATTTGAATTGTTATATTTGTTCATGGTCTTGTTAACTTCTTACTCATATAATATGTTAATATAATTGTATCTTAAATATATTTTAAACTTAATTTTTTTTAAACCAAACACTCCAATCTTTGGATGAATAAACTGTTTGATGAATTAAATAATAAAAAATTTATATTCTATTTATAAATTTTTCTATTCTTTATTTATTTAAAAGTTATCTTTTCTAAAATTATGATTTTATAAATTTCAATTTTATTATTACATCTATTTCCCTATTATAATAACAACAAAAATAATCTTTATTATAATCATTAAAAGAAATTAGGTATAAAATAAATAATATAATTATTAAAAGAAGCGATATTTAAAACAATTTTTCCCACTTTATCCTAGGTAGTTAANTGTTAACTTCTTACTCATATAATATGTTAATATAATTGTATCTTAAATATATTTTAAACTTAATTTTTTTTAAACCAAACACTCCAATCTTTGGATGAATAAACTGTTTGATGAATTAAATAATAAAAAATTTATATTCTATTTATAAATTTTTCTATTCTTTATTTATTTAAAAGTTATCTTTTCTAAAATTATGATTTTATAAATTTCAATTTTATTATTACATCTATTTCCCTATTATAATAACAACAAAAATAATCTTTATTATAATCATTAAAAGAAATTAGGTATAAAATAAATAATATAATTATTAAAAGAAGCGATATTTAAAACAATTTTTCCCACTTTATCCTAGGTAGTTAATTAAATTTTAAAAAAATAATTATACCATTTAAAAAGTAAAATAATAAAATAATTCATATTGATAAAGATATATAGAATTTTATTATACATAGTTAAATAAATTTAAAAATAATTATAAAATATAGAGATGAAAAGATAAAATAATTTACATTGATAAAAGTAAAATTAGAAAATGTGACATGAGACAGTTATTAGATAATTACAAAATTAACTTTCTTTATTAATAGGTTTTATGATTACTGTAAATCATATAATTTAAGTACCGTTAATCATTTTTTTTATTATTCGTATATTTATCCATTAGAATAAAAAAAATTAAAAGTAAAATGAAAAAGAAAAACAACCAAAATAAAATGTTTTAAAAATAAAATAATAAATAAATAATCGCAACATCTTAAAAATAAAAGAGAAAAAGACATGTTTAGCCTTTTTAATAAATTAGGCAAGTCTAACTTTTTATTTGAAGAGTTTTACTTTTGTTTATATAAAATTTGAGGTGAAGAATAAAAGTATGTGTATAAAATTTGGTTAATCAACCTAAAGGAAACATCTAACAAAGTAAATCATTAATTGAATAACAAAATTTGGTTACAATAACCTCTCCTAGTATTTTTTTTCTTTAATATTAAATTCATGTTGATTAAGTAAGTAATTTTTAGGAAGTATGAGTTTCTTTATTGTCTTAAAAATATTAGTTTAGCTGTATATATTTCCCACTTGAATTTTTTCAATGAATTCATCCTAATATAACCTAAATTACTCTATGGAGTTATGTGAGATCCAAAACAATTAAGTTAATAACTAAACTTAATTTATATTAAATTTAAGTTGAATGTAAATAAAACGTTAATTATATTTTATATATGATTATTATCTCTTTTTTAAAATTTAAGACAGAGAAAAATTATTCACACTCACAATATTCATTTAGTATAATATCAGCATGTATGAAATAAAATAATAAATAAACGTGTATAACTTACCAATCTTAACGAAGATATTTATATAAATGTTAATTATATTTCTGTCTCATAACTCTTAAAAGAAATAGAATTAATATATTTTTAAATTTAATTTAATTTAGTCTCAAACTTTAAAAATATATATATTTAATCATTTAATTTAACATTAAATAAACCTTTAAAATTTGGTCATTTAGTTCAATGTTAGCTAAGAAATATTAATAAACTTAACAACAAATTTAGTTAAAAAACTAAATTCATATATTTTTAAAGTGTAATAATTAACAAAATTTGATCCTTTAATTCAATGTTTACTGAGAAACATTAAATAAATTTAACAAGTTTGATTAAAAAAAACTAAATTCATCTATATAGAAAATAAACATAAATAAAAATTTTAAAAATAAACTAATTCCATTTTTTACTTAAAAATAATAATAAAGAAACAAAAGAAATATTTAAATTTTTATAAGTAATATTCAATTCTATAAATCAATCACAATAACAAATATGAAAATGTAAATATATTTTATTTTATCTTATACGGTTTTATTAAGTATTATTAAAAAATTATTACTTTGTAAATATTTAGTATAGTTTCATTTGAATAAAAAAAAATTTAGTTACATATATTTTCCATTTTCTCTATTAATTTTTTACTTCTTCCAATATTTATTACGCTCACAAAAATCTTCACTTTCTCGTTATAAACTCAGTTACATTTTTTTTTCATATTAATTTCTTATTTAACTTAAGTAACTTATTTCCTTTTATTTTTCTTTAATTTTTTTAAAACTCTTTTTTTTATACCATTTGCATTTTTTTCTCTACAACTCGATTCATTTGATACTCACTAAGTTTATTGAGATTCAAAAATGCTTTTTTTCTCTCAACATGGACAAAAATAAAAAAAAGAATCAGAACCAAGATAACATGTTTCAAAAACAAAATAATAAATAAAATATCACAAAATCTTAAAAATAAAAGAGAAAAGACATATTTAACCTAACTATATAATATAATCTTTAATTAATAATATTAAAATAATGTTTTTTTAAATTTATTATAATTATATCAGATAAAAGTTTATAAAGAATTTAATTGATATGATAAGCAGAAAGTTTCACTTTATATAATTTAAAAACGTTAGAACTTGTAGCATAATATCCTTTTTAAAACAAAATATTTCTTTTTTTCTACCTTATTATATTGACACTGTATGGAGAATCAATAATAACATGTGTTTAAAAAACATTCCTTTCTAAATATTTAAATGGGTTAAATATGTTTTTAGTCCCTAAACTATTGGCCGTTTCTGGTTTTCGTCCCTCTTTCAAAGTAAGGTACAATTTGGTCCTCATTCTTTTCGAAACGTTCGTTTTAGTTCTCGAAATTTTGGTTTTAGTCCTCATTTGTTGCTAAATGAGGACAAAATTT